GCTTACCCTCTCTGGGGCTCGTACCTTTTCCGGCCCGTACATGTCGTCGCCGTATTCGTTGAGCAGACTGTAGGCCTCCTCCACGCACTTGCGCTCGTTCATGTTGCAGGTAATGAGAATGCCCTGTAGCCCGGGTTCCAGCTGCCGTGGCCCACCGCCGTCGCAGCGCCGCGCCCGCTTGGCCTGCACATACTGAGCTTTCCCTTTGCGCTTTCCACCGCTAGACTGAGGAGGCGGCTGGACGGGGGCCGCCATGGCGCGTGAGAACCAAGGCTAGCGAGAAACAGCTTTCTCCTCTATTCCCGGCTTCCTCACCTCTGCTGACGCCAGCTGCTTTCGTCATGTGTGTGCGACGGCCTCTCTTAGTCCCGCCTCCCACGTTTCATTCCGTGCTGCGCCGGGTCCTAAAGCCGTCAGGTGACCGGCTGTGGAATGGTGGTGCGAGGCCCGCCCTTGGAGAGAGTGGACAGGCACTTTTTTTTTTCTTCTTTGAGGTGGGGGAGGGACAGAGAGAGGGGAAGACAGAGAAACCGTAGAAGGCTGTGCGCTGTCAGGGTTCAACCCACAAAGGGTGACATTATGATCTCAGCCCAAGTCGGAAGTTCAACGACTGAGCCACTGAGGCGCCCTTGATGGGCACTTCTTACTGCTCACTATCCAAAAGCCAGGGCTTCCTGGGGAATTGGCCTGGATGGAGCGGGTTTGTAAATTTACATGCTGGCCTCCAGCCGGATGTAGACCATGCTTGTAAAGAACTGTTTTGTTTACCATTCATAGTCATTGATTCATTCTGGTAATATTTATTAAGTACCCATGCACTAGTTATTGACCTAAGTACTAAGGTTGAGACCATTAGCAAAGACAGACACACTTCATACTCATGTTGCCCTTATAGGCCAGTGTTTCTTAGAAATCAATGTTTCTTCCAAACCACCCTACTTATTTTTTGCTCCTTTTGAAATGTGCATATGCAATGGACTTGACTTTAGCACTCCTGTTGGAGAACCCCAGAGGTACAAATAAAGAACACAAAGTATAAGAAACTCATTGAAGTCCGAGAGTTGATTATCAGAATAAGAAATATAAAATACAGGGAAACTTGGCCAAACTTCTCTTTTTTAATTACTTTTTTAATGTTTATTTTTGAGAGAGATAGACAGAGTGCAATCGGGGGAGGGGCAGAGAGAGAGAGGGAGAGGGAGACACAGAATCTGAAGCAGGCTGCAGACTCTGAACTGTCAGCACAGAGCTCCACCTGAGGCCCAAACTCGCGAACCATGAGATCATGACCTGAGCTGAAGTCCAGCGCTTAACCGACTGAACCACCCAGGTGCTCCTGCCAAACTTCTTAACATTGAATTGTCACTATTCATACCCAAGATTCATATTCATACCCAAGATATTGTCCATATCAATTTCTTCACACAACTTTTGTTTGACGCTGATGTCATAACAAGTGATAGTAACATTTTGGTGAATTATTGTTCCGACTGTAGTTGGTCTGGACAGGAAATCACATCCTCACTTCTGAACAAAATCATGAAGAGCCAAAAGAAGGTTTGTCCTTTGTTGCCCTAGGAAGAATTAGCGAATCCAGTGCCCCAGAAATGTAGATTGTTATAGAAAGTCAGGAATAAAGAACTTCTTATTTATTGTAAGGCCTTCATCTCTCAGATTCACATTCTTGTGACACCTATGAAAAAGTAATTCTGATATGAAATAATAGTCTAGAATAGTCCATATACATATAAAAGAATTTTCACTACTAGGAAAATTATTCATCTTCTTTTCTCCAATTAAATATACCTTGCTATTTTCTTTTCTTCATATCTGTCCCCTAAAATGTTTATGAACCCACTCATTAAACTGGATAGATAAGCAATCCCTTCAGAGTTAACATCATAATATTCCCCATACCCTAAAGTCAGGAATCCAGCTCCTTATACTTCATGCAATTAAAAGTCAACTTGAGGTGGCTCAGTTGGTTAAGCATCCAACTTTGGCTCAAGTCATGATCTGTTAGTGGGTTTGAGCCTGGTGTCAGGGTCTGCACTGACGGAGCAGAGCCTGATTGGGATTCTCTCTCTCTCTCCCTCTCTCTCTGTCCCTCCCCCTACCTCAAAATAAATAAACATTAAAAAAAAAGTCAACTTGAACTTTATAAATCCCTTATGTTGGTGTTCCACCTATGACAGTATATTGCTTTGGTAAGCAATGCAGGAGTACTGTGCTTTTTATTGACCTAGATATTTCAATCTCACATTCCGAGATTTGCTTGTAATGTATGAAACAACAAAATACTAAAAAGAGGAAAAGTAATTATCCTGATGTTGAACTTCATGGTTAACTGGGTTTTTTCTTATATGTAAATATATATGTATATGTATGTATAGTTGTATATATACATATATGTATATAAAGATGTGTGTGTGTGTGTATAACCTTATCTTCCCTTAGGTTCTTTTGCTTAAATTACTAATATTAATACTAGAGTTCCTGATTAGTACTAGGTGTTAACTGTCCCATTCCACACTGTAGAGTAGGACAAATGGAAAAAATTCATTTCCCTTTTAGGGTGCTCCCTCTGGCCAAATATGGAGGCAATTTCATAAGAAATGGAATCCTTGAGGAAGTGATTTCCAATATGTCTTCTTTAATACTATTATCCTAGGGATGAAGGCAGAGAAATAAGCAGATTCTATCACCAGTGGGAAAACTGGGCTGGAATACATATCATGATCACCTATAACTACTTCCTTGTTAGTTTTTGTCTACCTTATGGTTAACATTTGTTGTTTTTGTTTGCTCAATAAATGAACCCCCTTTTGGGGAGGAGGTGTAATCCATCATTGGATGAGTCTGAGTGGAAGGCAGGGCCCACCTTGCATCATGGAAGCTTGACATGTCAGGTATCCCTTTTTCCCACTCTGTAATGTGAGCACATCACCTCAGCTTCATCAATTGGATGCATCTGTGAGGGTCTGAGAATTGGAAGCAAATGTGTAAAGAGGAGTGCCCATTTAGAGTTCATCTGACCAATGGCAGTGGCATTCCAAATCCAGTATCATCAGCTTTGCAGCCACTCCAGAAGCAGTGGCAGTACTAGACTTTTCAGAACATTGATGCTAGTTCTAGCCTCCTCACTCCCCCAGTCATCCTTGGTTCTTCTGACCCTGGATCTACCACTATTTCCAAAAATTTTGTCATCATCTTATATTTAGCTTTCACCTATATAATCAGCATAGCCTTTACTTTTGACAATGGAGATTGCATAGTATAGATTTCTGGAGGTCCTCAGTTGATTTTGAAGAACAGTGGCATTGCTGTGGTGTTCAGAAGCATAGAGAGCGCTGACTGAAACTTGTTTTTACTTTTGTTTTCATCCTTGGTGCCTGCCATAATGCCAGATCCATATTAGGTGCTCAAAAAATATTATTGAACATTTGAACTCAACCCCAAGAAATGGTCAGTAAAGGAAAAAGGTTAAGAACAATGCTATTAAGAAGGGAAGTATACCAAGTCCAGATCCCATTAAGCCCCACCAGAGGAGCGAGAAAAGAAGCTAGGAATTAAGAGAGAGATTTCCCTGGCAATGCTGGAAACACATTTGTATGAAATTTCAATTTGTGTGAACTTTCACCTCCTTAGGTTACCAGTCATGGTCAGAGGTCTGGTGTCTGTCATTGGGCACCAAGGGCTCTGTGATGTGGCTTGTAAACCCCTCTTCTGGCTCCTGTATACCAAGTGGTTTTTTTGTTTTGTTTTGTTTTGTTTTAAGAAAAGGAATGTCGGCATTATAGAAAAATCACTTAATACCCTGTGCAGCGGATAATGTGGGTTTGGAATAAGTACTATGAGGAATTTGACTTTTATTCTAATTAACCTAATTCTAATTCGCTTCACATATTCATGAGGTCTTCAGCCCAGAAAGGGAAGAATGATGTAAGACATTCTAAATTCTCTTTCTCTTTCTCTTCCTTTCAAAGTTACTGCCATTTAACTTCTACTTGTATGTTCAGTACAGAATCCATCCTTGCCCCGAACACAGGTAGGAAACACTCTTAGATTTTGTTCCTGTTCTGACTGCACTATCCATCCAGGATTTCCTGCCTTATTCTCTTGTTACCCAGCATTTTCAGGTAATAGATGTCTTAACACTGAACCCTGGTCACCTGCTGATTTGATTTCTCTACACCTGCCACCTTCAGAGTTGATAATATGTATATGATCATGGGCCCAAATTCTAAAGTCAAACTGTGTTTAAATCCCAGTTCTGTCATGTTCTGGCTGGGGAACTTCAAGCAAGTGAGAAGCTGAATTTCCTCATGAGATTAAAAAAACAAAACAACAACGTTTAAATGGGGATAATAATACTGATTTTCCGGGTTACTAGGAAAACTCATTAAGATAGGCATGACAAGTGCTTAGTTCAGTCACTGTTCAGTCAATGTGGACTTGTTCATAGTCACTGTTGAGTCAGTGTGGACTTAAAAACAGCTGGTTTGGGGCTCAGTTGTGACTCAGTGATGTCTAGTATTTTTATTTATTTATTTATTTATTTATTTATTTTATTTTTTTTAATTTTAGAGATTGAGAGAGTATGAGCTGGAGAGAGGAGTAGAGCGGGGGGGGGGGGGGCGCAGGGAGAGAGAATCTCAAGCAGGCTTCATGCTCAGCATGCAGCCCGACACAGCCCAACACAGGGCTCAATCCCATGACCCTGGGATCATGACCTGAGCCAAAACTCAACTAACTGAGCCACCCAGGTGTCCCTAGTATTTTTTATATTAGTATCCATTCCCCAACCCAGTCCCCTAAATGCATTATTTGTCCCCTAATGTCTTATCTCCATGTGTCACTTATTGAAAGCTAAATGTAATCCTTTGAGGAAGGAGGCCAGAAGGGAAAGAAACTTTAAATATAGTTAACTTAATATCGTGTATCATAAAATAAGATAAAATACGTAACACCTTACCTCTGCCAACTGGCTCCTGCCTCACATTTGATTGAATGACACCCCAGGTCTTTCACTGGCTCTGTGCCCACAGCACTTGTGCCACACTTGCACTTTTATCACACCTACAAGCTGCATAAGAAACGTGCCCAACAGCCTGAGTTCCACAATGGAACCTGACTCTGAAGCCATGTGAACTTGGTCTATCCCTGGAGAAGCCACATTTGGTCTAGCCGTTTGTTCCTACCTGCATCCTCACTTAGCCCTGCTGGGTGTCCTGAACTCCTGATCCCAGCCCCTC